AATTATAAAGATGTAACTATCCAACTTATCAAAGGTGACCTTGCCACGCCTACGACACGCCCCTCTTCTCCCTCCCCCACCTCCCCCCACTTCCCCCTTGCTCTCCTCTCAAAAACAATTTTCTACAACAACAACCAATCTCTATCCATCAGAGTAATGAAGAATAAGAGTTTTAGATAGAGGGTATCTGTTAAATGACGTACTTCATGAATTGCAGCCACAGCTGCATCGATGTCCTCGTCCGAAGTTGGTACCAAGTTTTCCTCACAGCTTTTGTCAGAAGTATCAGACTTCTCTATCTTTATAATATTGCAGTTCTCTTCAGAAGATTCAGGCTGTTCTGTCTTCACAATATCGCCACTATCTTCGAAAGAGTCAAGGTTTTCAGCCTTTATAATACTCTCGCAATCCCTGCCAAAAGGCTCTTCACATTTAACAATATCCATGCGACATTCTTCAAAAGAGTCAGGCTCTTCTTTTTTCACGACATCCTTACAGTTTTCTTCATAAGTGTCAGGCTCCTCGATTTTCACGACAATCTCTTTTGAGGGCATTCTCCTTATTTCCACTAGCAAAACCGAGCTGAACTTGTCTGAAATTAAAGGAGGTACTATTTATTAGGGAGAATGGGCGAATATCAACGAAGTGACGTTTTACTGCTCAACTTCATTTTCAGTCGTGATTGGGATATCATTTTGTCTAAACTCTACATGGGACAACAATCAGTAGAGAGCAAAAACTTGAAAATAACGCACTCGCGCAGTTGCGCATGTGGTTCTAACTGCAATAAATTCAAAGTCCTTTTATAAAGCTGAGGTAAGACTTAAAATTGAGAGAATAAGTTGTTCAATCAATAAGCCGCTATCATTCATTAGGATTGAATACTGACAAATAAATTTTTTGAAGTTTAGAGATTTTACGAATATTCAAAGTGCAGTTATAGCAAAAGCTTGCTCAACAACGTTTTTACAATTTATGCTTGGCATAAGCGCTATTGTAAATTTTTAGTTTTTTTTTT